GTATGAGTGAGAGTGTGTGTGAGTGTGTGTGTGTGTTGTGTATGTGTGTATATGTGTGAGTGTGTGCGTCTGTTTGTGTGAGAGTGTGTGTGAGTGCGTGAGAGACTGTGTGTATGTGTAATTGTGCTTGTGTGTATGACTGTGTGTGTGTGAGTGCGTGTGTGTGAGAATGTGCCTGTATGTGTGTGTGTGTATATGTGTGCATGTTTGAGGGAGAGTGTTTGTGTATATGTGTTTGTGAGTATGTGTGAGAGTGTGTGTGTATGTGTCAGAGAGTGTGTGCTTATATGTGTGTGTGTGTGAGTGTGAGAGAGTGTGCGTGTGTGTGTCTGTGTCAGTGACCGTATAGGTGTGTATGTGCGAGTGTGTGTGTTCATGAATGTTGTGTGTGTGTGTGAGAGACAGAGTGTGTTTGTGTGTGAGAGTATGTGTGAGAATGTGTGCATGTGTGAGTGTGTGTGAGAGAGTGTGTGTGTGAGAGAGTGAGTTTCTGTCTCTGAGTGTGCGTGTCTGTGTCTGTGTGTGTGTGTGTATGTGTGTGTGTGTATGTATCTGATTGTCTGTGTGTATGTGTGTGAGTGTGTATGTATAAGTGTGTGTAGGTGTAAGAGTGTATGTGTGTGTTTGTGCATGTGTGTGTGTGTGAATGAGAGTGTGTGTGCATGTGCGTGTGAGTGTATATGTGTGTGTGAATGTGTTGTGTATATGTGTATATATGTGAGTGTGTGCGTCTGTGTGAGAGTGTGAGCTCGTATGTGTGTGTGAGAGAAAGTGTTTGTGTGAATGTGTTTGAGAGAGTGTGTGTGTGTGAGAGTGTGTATATGTTTTGTGTGTATGTGTGACAGTGTCTGTATGTGTGTGAGTGTGTGTGTGTCAGCGTGTGTGTGTGTGTTTTGTGTGAGAGACTGTGTTTGTGAGTGCGTGTATATGTGAGTGTGTGTGTGCGTGAGTGTATGTGTGCGTGTGAGAGTGTGTGTGTGAGTGTGTGTGAGAAAGTGTGTGTGAGTTTGTGTGCCGCTGTGTGTGTGGGACTGTCTTGTGTGTATATGTGAGTGTGTATGTGTGTGTGTATGTGTGAGTATGTGTGTAAGTGTGTGTGTGTGATTGTGTGTGTTTGTGTGAAAGAGAGTGTGTGTATGTGTGTGTGTGGAAGTGTGTATGTGTGAGATTGTGTGTGTGAGTGATGTGTGAGAGTGTAAGTGTGTGTGTGTGTGTGAGAGAGAGAGAGAGTGTGTTTGCCTGTGTGTGAGAGAGTGAATGTAAGTATGTGTGTGTGTGTGTATGCATGTGAGTGTGTATGTGTGTATGCATGAGATTGTGTGTGTCTGAGAGTGTGTGTGAGTTTGTGTGTCACCTTGTGTGAGTGTGTGTGTGTGTGTGTGTTGGACTGTCTGCATATGTGTGTATGTGTGAGAGTATGTATGTTTGTGTGTGTGTGT